TGAAACACGTATAGACATCTCGCCAGAAAAGAGAGATGCAAGATAAAGTCTCTTGGTACTGAAGTTTATTTGTTTATTGTGGTGTTAGAAGTTGAACTGAGAGCTTCATGCGCTCTAGGCTAGCAACGCCACTGAGTCACACCCTGGGTGAACCCCTTTAGTTCTCTAAGGAAAGAAATCCAGCGATGCAGGAACCTGAGGATGATGTGGCTTGGGCGGGTCAGGTCCTCACCCCGACTGCTTTTCTGTTATTTGTATCAATTTCCAGTCATTCCAGAAATACTCCTCATGACTTACTGCTCAGTCCCAGTGAGAGATGCCATTCACCTGACTGCACCCATTTGTGGCAAAGCCAGTTCTGGTGGGAGCCAGCCAGCAAGATGAATCCAGGAGCTCCTTGGTTTCTGCAAGTTGATGACCCCCCAGGTTCTAGTAAGATCTGTCAACAGAATACAGCTGCAGCAAGATGTAAAAATACCTTTCTCCTGCCATTCTTTCTGAGCGGCCCGTTCTCCCTCCTCCTTCCCTAAGATGGTGGCAAGTTAGCAATGCTGGTAGGGTCCCCTGTCTGAAGTTTCCTGGGATGGAAAGGCAATAAGGACTTAAAATGAGTTCTAGGACAACTCAAGCTAGAGGGACACTTTGGTCTCCAAAACAAAGCAAGATGAAACAGTAACAACACATGACTCAGTGTAGTTGTGGTGTAATTGAAAACCCCTTGCTTGGCCGTGGGACACATGATGCTGAGTACACACCCTCTAGCATATAAATATGCATCTTGCTCCTATATTATTTTTATTTATGAGTTTGTATGTGGGGCAGGGCACACAGATGATCAAAAGACAACTTTCCATGGTTGGTTCTCCCCTTCACCCTGCCCTTTCTTCGATTCCCTATTAGCCATTAATCTATTTTTGTCTTTATGGATTTGTCTATTCTGGAAATGCCACATCAATGGATTTATATAATATGTGATTGTTTGTGTTTGCCTTCTTTCCACTTACGCCAGTGTCTTCAGGTCTCCTCTGTGTTGTTGTATACACCAGAAGGCATTCTGTTGTCTGTTCAGACATTCTCCCGGGCATTGCCCTCCTGTGTGCGACAGGATCTTGTCCTTGGCAAATCTGCATCCTCCACGAGGCCATCCCTTGGAAATGTCCTTCAGGGCTTGCCTGACGCTAACTCACAAAAGTAGCAGCAATGATTGGATGTCCTCCTTCCCCCTCACCCTTCCCACCCTCTTCTCACCTTCCTCTTCTTGAATGGCTGTGGCTGTGTCCTTGAATTTAGTTACAGGAAACACTCCCGAGCCTGCTCATTCCTTTCGAGTTGAGCAAGTTTCTGTTGGAGGACAAGGGGGAAGTGGTATTACCAGGCTGACAGAGGGAGAAGACCCTCCCTGCTGTCTTAAATGCTATGGGGGAGGGGCAGAAACAGTCCTGGATGGAGCTGCTTTTTAGGTTCAGTTCTGCAACTATTTGCTTTATTACCTTGGACAATTCTCCATCCCCACTGTCTTGTTCACTGTTCTATCACAGAGAAGAGGCACCATGATCAAGGCAATTATGACGAGAGAAAACATTTAGCTGGTGCTGGCTTACAGTTTTGAAATTTAGTCCATGATCATCATGGCAGGGAGCATCACATAGGCAGGCATGGTGCTGGAGAGGTAGCTCAGAGTTCTACATCTGGATCTGCAGGCATCAGGGAGAGGGACCCTGGGATGAGCTTGCGCTGCTTTTGAAACCTCAAAGCCCCCCCCCCCCCCAGTGACACACTTCCTACGATACCCAACAAAGCCACACTTCCTAATGTTTCTCAAGTCATGTCACTCCCCGATGACTAAGAGCTTATGGGGGGCATTCTTATTCAAACCANCCCCCCAGTAACTCATGAGAGACCGTTCTTGCTGCAATCACACGAGGCTTTAATGATGAGATGAGATGGGAACTAGTGCACTGGGGCCGAGACTCATAACCCACGCAGGGGAAGAGTTCAACCCCAAGTGACCTGGAGAAAGAGTTTTTAAGGGAAGAAACCACAGCCCAGTAATCCAAAAGGGTCATAGAAAATTCCGAAAATCCAGTGAGGGTCACAAGGGGGCAACTCCCTGCCTCTCAGGACCACTCCCAAGGTCATAATCAGCTAGTTCCTAAAACACAGTACAATGATAGTCACAAGGGGGAGACTCCCTGTTTCTCAAGATTATTCTCAAGATTACAATCTAACTTTATCTTCAGCCAGTTCCTGAAACAGTCACTAAACCAGCTAATCCTAGATTTTTGATCTTCTCTTCCTGCTGGAGGGGGGACTGGATTTATCCAGGTCTCTCAAGGCAGGAGTCAGTTTGAATAAAGATATGATGGTTGGTTGGCCTACAACTGTTGTGTAACCTGTCTTGATCATCTTGAACTTGTGAGACAGTCTATCTTCAGGCTGACACAAAAGCCTGTATAGGGCCTTTGTTTTAAGCTGCCAGGCTTTCTCCCAAGTCAGAAGAGTGAGGAAGGGACCAGCCATCTTGAAAATTTGCTGCCTTTATTACCTAACCATGACCCCTCTTCCTATCTGTTGGTCTGTCAGAGAGTCTAACTCCTAGTCTCTCACTGGTACTGTCAGGGTTGTATCACTAAACAACTACAGAAGTTCTAACCATTTGTTTGTCTGCCAATGTGTACTGCTTAACAGAAGTGGAATTTATATATTTATATATATAAAATGTTGTTTAGTTTATTGTATAAAAGTCCAGAATTTTTAATTTAGGTATGAATGTAGATGCTGAATTTAAACTATTATTATTGTTAAAAGTTCTCTTCATACATACCCTCTCTTCTTTGTGTACTAATATATTCCATGTTTCTCCCTCCAAAACAAATATATATATATGTATATGTATATATACATATATATAATATATATTTAATTTCTAAGTACTTACTTATTCTTACCTTAACTTTGTTGGATTTCTTAAAAGAATAATTGAGGGACCACAGACCAAAGAGATGGTTTAGTGGATAAAGCACTTGTCATGCTAGCATAAGGAATTCAATTTGTATACCTATCTCATGTGAAGTGGGTCTGTAATCCTAGTGCTCCTAAAAAGACATAGGAGGTAGAGATAGGACAATCCCAAGAAGCTAGTGGACCAGCTAGCCCAATGTACACAGTATTTAATAACATGAAACTCATCTCCCAAAAGGTGGAAGTCGAGAGATGAATACCTGAGTCTATCCTACTCTGGCACAGGCATACCACCACCACCATCAACATAAGCAAAAAAAAAAAAAATTTTTTTTTCTACAAACTATTCCCATTTCATTTAAACCCATTGTAATGCTCTTCACCTCACTTCTAATTCCTCAGTGGTTTTCTTTTGGTTTTTGCTTTTTTTTTTTTTTCAAGACAGTGTTTCTTTGTGTTCCTTTGGAACCTATCCTAGACTAGGCTGGCCTTGAACTCACAGAGATCTGCCTCCCAAGTGCTAGGATTAAAGATGTCCACCACCACCTTCCAGCTCAGTAGTTCTTATTTATGGCTTTCCTTAAAAGAGGCCGTATTAAAGATATCAGACTTTAGGTGATTCCAGCCATAGCTAGATTCTCTACAGTTCTGTGAAAACCCAAGCAAGAAGTTCCAGTTAAGCCCTCAGTACCCTTGAGAGGACTAAATTGTTCTAAGCCACTAGGAATCAAGGGATTTTAAGGCAATGAACCACAAGAGAGAGATACTAGGGAATCAGTTTCCCTATTTCTCTGATTTCCCAAGTTTTCAGTCTTTCTTCCTGTTTTATTTCTTAATTTTTGGTGTTAATTTTTTTGTGTGTTTGGACCTGAGTTTATTATTTAGGGAGTTAATGATTCTCTGGCCTCCTGATGTTTTACATTCTTTACCTTATATTTAGAACACCTTTTTACAGTATTACTAGTATTAGTATGCTGTTTTTTCTTCTGCTTTCAAATAGGTCACCTTTCTAATGATCATTGTGTTATGGTTTCTATTGCTGTTAAGAGACACCATGACCACAGCAACTCATAATTGGGACTGGCTTACACTTAAGAGGTTTAGTCCACTTTTTTTTTTTTTTATCATAACTGGAAGCATGGCAGTACACAGGCAGAAGACATGGTGCTGGGAAAGGAGCCAGGAATCCCAGTGGCTAGGCAGCAAGAAGAGAGAGTGACACTGGGCCTGCCTTGAGCATTTGAAACCTTAAAGCCCACCTACCAGTGACATACTTCCTCCAACAAAGCTATACTTACTCCAACAAGGTGACGCCTCCTAATAGTGCCACCCTTCATGAGCTGATGAGGGCCATTTTCAATTAAACCATCACAGCCATAAATCAACTGATACCACTAAACTCTGGAGGCTTTTTTTCTTAAGTCAGTTCTTTTGTGAGGGTTCAGATTAGAGTTAGAAGACATGAAGCTGGCATGTCTGCTTCAGCATTTTAGTCCTGATTTTTTTCCCCAAAAGATTATGCATAAAAGAACACAGACTGTATATTGTACCCTAAAAGAAGAACTGCTTCAGGAATAATACTTGTTTAATAACAATAAGATGAGGCATGTAGTGAAGGCCTAAAAAGGGTAGGCATTCATACAGCCTGTACAGTCAATCCTATTACCATAGATATCAAGCCTTAATTATATATTTATCAATTTAAATAAGAAATTTGTAAAAACATGTTTAAAGTAAGGTGTACTGTTATGTTATTGCTGCTATTGAATATTATAATTTCACACCATGAGTACATTTTTATGATCATTTTATTTAGTATTAAGTGTGTGTGACAAGCATGTGGATGTCAGGAGATAATTTTATGGAGTCAGTTCTCTTCTTCCACTTTTAAGTGGGGTCTTTGTGTGAACCTGATTTAGGTCACTAAGCTTGCAAGGCAAGAGCTCTTACCTGATAAGCTATTTTGCCAACCTGAAGAGGGCAAATTAAGTCTGAAAAATTCATTAGCTTTATACAACATTAATTTTTTTTTATTCCAGTTTTAAGAACAGGTGGAATTGGATATGGCTAATTCATATGATTTCAATGAACAAAACTCATGGAATGGAATCTCATCTGAAAAGAATTTCCTTGCATCAGAAGATCATGGACAGAAAATTTTAAGTGTACTACAGAGTTTTAGAGAACAGAATATCTTTTATGATTTCAACATAGTCGTGAAAGAAGAAATAATCCCATGTCATCGGTGTGTGTTGGCGGCTTGTAGCGACTTTTTCAGGTACTCTACCCCCATCTGTACTTTAGATTTTATATATGGAAAATTACATTGTATTTTACAAATATACTCACTGCCCCCTGATCATACTATAGTAATTTTTAGTTTTTAATTAAAAGCCTTAATTAGAACTAGTTGGTTAATAATGTTTGAATAGGGATCTTAAGCTTCAGCTGTAAAAATAAGTTTTCCCGGGACACCATTCCCAAAGTTCCTTAAAATTACTTCCTTGAGCTCTTCTGAGTAGGGGTGGGGTACATGTGGGGTCAGCTTTGTTTGAAATAACTAGTTGAACAAAAATAGAAGCTGAATTTATAGAAAATGACCAAGGACAATATAATTTCAGTTGTGTCCATGCCATATCCCAGTGGTTGATGCCTATAATCTCAACCTCCAGGAGAATGAGGAACAAGGATTGCCGTGATGATAGTGGGTTTCTGATGTATAAGGTAAAGGTCTGATGTATTATCATAGTACTGTGCCAACTGCCTACTGGCCAGTAGAAAGATAGATTATCTTTTCTGACATCTTGTAGTCAGGCCTCTTAGTTATACTGCAGTAAACTCAAATCTTCACTTCAGCATTATGTCCACTTCTAGAGTAAAAATTAAGTAGGATTTTAATCTCTCAACAAATTTGGTAACAACAGGAAAAGATACTATATATGAATCAAAATGGAAATTATACTGCATTTACAATTTTTATTACAGCTGGTTGTGAGCCACCATGTGGTTGCTGGGAATTGAACTCAGGACCTTTGGAAGAGCAGGCAATGCTCTTAACCACTGAGCCATCTCTCCAGCCACATTTACAATTTTTAAATTGAGAACTGAACCCAAGGCCTTGCTCTGTTTCAATTTTAATCATTAATTCAAAACCTGCTTTTTATGAACATGTAATTTAAGACCTTTTGTACTGCCATTATAGTAAATTTTATAGGCTAAACTTTATTTAATAAGCAATTCTTGCAATTTGCTACTGACTGAACACCTACCTGTGTGATGTTTTTGCTTTGAATTTGGAACGCAGTATGCAATGTCCTTGGCCAGGGATGCTCCAGCAGTCTTGAATTAGCTGTTTGCTTAGTTATGTCTAATTTTCCTTCTCTTTTTGTTTCTTCATAGCCTCTAAGGCATTCTTTTACATCCATTGGAGACCCCAGTGTTAAGACTTTCAAGCCACCTTTGTCTTCCCTCCTTTTGAACACAGCTTTCCATCCAGTAACTTTTTGTAACCATTATCCTTATAAATGTGACTTTTTGTTCATAAGCATCTGTCTAGTTAATGACTAAATACTTAGTTTCTTAATATATATGCCCTAATTTAAATCCCAGATCTACTGCTTAGTAGTCATGTGACCTTAGATACTCACTTACCTTTTTCATACCTAGGTCTCTTCACTATTGACAAAGAAGTTAGAAAAATAAAAATAAGAATTAATACATAGGGTCATTCAGGAGGTTATAAATTAATGTATAAAAGATTAGCATATTGTATTTTACATTCAGTCCATCTTAGTCAATAAACTCTTTGTTTCATAATGTAGCAAAACAGAACAATCCTGTTCTGAGTATATATTTTATTTTCCCTGCATTGTTCTCGTGCTAATACAACAAAAAGTTCTTGTGAGCATTTGAATTTGCAAACCTTTTCTCTAATCAAACTTATTTTTAATTCATTATTTTAGTATGTTAATTGGTTGATAGTTTTTGACATGTATATAATGTATTCTGCTTGCTCTCTACTTGTTACGTCTCTCTTTCTACCTATATCAGTGCTCCTTCCCAACCTGTCCCTTGTCAGTGGTGACTGTTTGTGACCCATTTAGTTTAACAAGGGCTGGTGACTGCTGGATTGAGCATTTAAATGCTTTAGCATATGGTTTTTTGTTCAGTTTATTCTTAACTTTTTTTTTTTTTCCTCAAGTGATTTAATGCTCTGCAGATGGGTGGGCAGTTATCAATGATAAAGTTAAATAATTTTAGTAGTATTAGTAAATAGTACATGACACCACAGAAAGAACCTAAGTACTCTCCAAGCTTTTTGAGTCTGCTTTTCATCTTTAAAATTCCTATTAGATAGGATAATAGTTTTTTTTTTTACTTTAGAATGTTTTAAATAGCAGATATCAACAGTTCTTTATTGGATTTTAATAAATGAATACATAGCTCACATGAAAATATGTACAGATGTGTACAAATATGACTAGAAATTTAATCATTTATACTCTTAAGGTAAACCATTAATTCCTATTATTTGCAGTTTGATAAAATTATCTACATTGCAAGAATAATGTAAAATGAAAATATCAGAAAAGCATGCATTACAAATCAAAAAATGATTAATATGTAAAATCAAGGAACTAAAAATGAATCATATGTCTTACAGAAAACTACTTAGGATAACATGACAAATCAGACATAAATGTCAATTACTTAAAAAGTAGGATAACGTATAGGAGTTTGATCGTATATGTGCCTTCTGTGAGGATCAAGTTAAAAATATATAGAACCTGGGACTGGAGAAATAGGTCAGTGGTTAAGTGCACGCTCTTTCAGAAGACCCAGCCTTAATTCCCAGCATCCATATGGTAGCTTATAGCCATCTATACCTCCAGTTGCAGAGGATCTGACTCCCTCTTCTGTCTTTCTTAGGCAAAAGGCACATACTTGTGCACATATATACATGCAATCAAACCACCCATACACATAAAATGAGTAAAATCTTAATAGATAGGTAGGTAGACAAACAGACAGTGATGTGGGGACAGGTGGGCTATTTCTCAGGAAGCAGTTGAATTCTTAATGTGGTAGCAGTTAATACTTTGCAGACATTAAGTCATTTATTCTTCTAAACAACTCATTAAATCCCTTTATTTTTCAAGTAATTTTGTTGATAGTGAGGTGATTTTTTTGAGTATGTAACCTGAGTTATTTTGTAGCATATTAATAATCCTTTAAATAAAATAATGTATCCATTTAGAATACAATTACAATACAAATTAATATTCTAGTTAATTTTTTTTTCAGATTCATTAGCCATGCTTTTTTTTTCTCTTCTTATATTATTCATGTGTGATCCAGGAAAACAGTAAGCATTAATAGAATACCTTTCATATTCATCATTAATGAAACTTCCTGCTGGTCATGTAGCCAGTAAGTAAAGAAGCTGTATCATTGAGATAGCTGTCTCTAGGGACCATGAACTTAATACTACATTGAACCAATAATATAGTACATAGATAGTATACAATATAATCATTGCTGTTTAGTATTCCTAAGCTGGCATACATTGTTGAAGATCCTTGTGTAACATATAGCATGTATATAATTTTTGTTACTACATTTACTTGGCTTCATATTAAGAAGTATTGAGCAGCCTTGTAAAAAATCTTTTTATCATTCTTTTCTTTCTTTATTTGAAAGACCCCATCATATTCTTCAGGTAGATCCTGTGCTCGCTAATAGATTTATTTACTCTCTGGGACAGACATTAAACAAAAAGTCAATCCCAACACTACCAAGTACAAGCAAGTACTTAGATATGCACAGCACAGGTATAGCACACAAAGTATGTGTCTTAGTTGCTTTTCTGTTGCTGTTGTGAGACACCATGACCAAACCAATTTATAAAAGAAAGTGTCTAATTGGATTTAAAGTCAGAAGATTAGAGTCCCATGATAGCAGAGCAAAAGTATGGTGTTAACAACAGCTAGCTAAGAGGTCACACCTTAGTCCACAAGCAGGAAGCAGAGACCACCACTCTTTTGAAACCTTAGATCTCCCCAATGACACATTTCCATAGGGCCACACCATTTAATCCCTCCCAGATTATTTCACCATCTGTTACCATGCAGACAAACTTGAGCCTAAGAGCGTCATTCTAATTCAAACCACCACAATTTTTTGATGTTATCAGCACAGCTGCAGGCTTTCATAAAACCAGCATAAACAGTAAAATACATTTCATTCCCTGACCAGACACTTCCAAATAACCTGTATTTTTTTATCTTTTCTGAGTTCAAAATAGTCCCAATCTCTTAGTTTTAATCTCCAAGATGGCCTGATTATTTAAATTTGGAGAACAGTTTATCTCTTAGTGATTGTTACCCCAAAATTGTAGGTTTGGCTTTTTTGACTTTGTGTGGCTCAGTTTTTGGATATTATATTCCCTTGTCCCTTTTACAACATTGTTGTAATAGGAGTGGCGGGGCTGCATCCTCGGCACCCGGCCACCCGTACGGCTAGCTTATGCCCTGAAATAATTACATGGAAACTGTATTCTTTTGAACACTGCCTGGCCCATTAGTTCCAGCCTCTTATTGGCTAGCTCTTACATATTGATCTAACCCATTTCTAATAATCTGTGTAGCCCACGAGGTGGCTTACCAGGGAAGATCTTAACCTGCGTCTGTCTGGAGTGGGAGAATCATGGTGACTCTCCGACTCAGCTTCTTTCTCCCAGCATTCTGTTCTGTTTACTCCACCTACCTAATTTTCTGTCCTATCAGAGGCCAAGCAGTTTCTTTATTACTTAACCAATGAAACAACAGATAGAAAGATGACCCTCCTCCATCACAACATGAGTCTGATATTATAGATTTCTCCACAGCCATACAAATCATTGGTGTCTGTGGGCCTCTTATTGTGTTCCCTGTTTTTTAATGTATATTTTTGAAACCTAAAGCCTTGAAGTTGTATGTTATAAAATTTCAGTTATTGGTGTGTCAGGGACCTCCTTGAGAACAGACCCAAGCAAGGGACATCTGTGGGAACAGGCCTGAGGCAGTGAAGTCTGCCAGAGCAGGCCTCAGCCAGTGACTTTCATTGGAGCAGGCCCAAGGTGGCTATCCCCCACGGGAGCAGGCCTATAGAGACCTCTGCCAGAGCTGGCCTGAGCCAGTGACTTTCATCGGAGCAGGCCCAAGGCCGCTACCCTGATGGGAGCATGATCAAGGCAGCAACCACTGCCAGAAGCAGGAGCAGGTACAAGGGAGCAACCAC